AAAGGGTTATAAAAAATTATTTATCAATTTTTAATGTGGAAGGAAAATGTATGGTTTTCCTCCTGGCATTTTTTTTTTTTCTTCATTTTCTTTTCAATTGTAGGATGTGTTTAAATGGCAAAGAAACACTCCAGGAGGATAAACTTCACTCCTAAATGGTGCGCTTTGTTTAGCATATCTGAGAATATATCGTTAGAAAAAAAAGTGGAAAATTTAGATCCTCCCCTCCTAAGTAGCTTCTCTATCCATAGGGATAAGTACCCATACGTGTATACATTTTAAGAGCGGCTTAATTCTTCCACAACCCAACTGTTTTTGCAAACACATGTCCGTACAAGTGTACCCCGACTAAACTGCTACCCGACAGTAAACAATTGCTAAAAAAAATATGAAAACATAAAAAGGCAAATACGGGTTATGCGTGGTGTGGGCCGTTTATACGCGCGCGCCCCTTCGTAATTTACATTCTCAGTTGTGATATAATTGCCTGGAGTTATTGAGAAAAACAAAAAAAGGACAAATGAGGGGCAAAGGAAAGAAAAGGGAATAATGCACAAAGAGAACAGAAAAAGATAAAATAAATGTAACAAACGCGAAGCAAAAATGCTGCGAGGTTGTGGTGTCTCTCGGACATTCAAAAAAAACCATGTGTTAAAAAACAGGCTGCTGCCCCCATCCCCATTTAGGTATATTCATTTTATACACCTAATAACAGATTTATGTAGCTCTTTCGTACTTTTTAAGCAAATCTTTTAAAGATAGCACAAAGGTGTACTAATCCTTTTTTGTTTTTTTTTTTTTTTTTCTATTTGGTGCATTGTCCCTGGATTCTCTTTTTTTGCTAAATAAATATCGCAGGCACATATCCTCAGCTTGGGATATTTTCTACCCACTTTAATACACGTGTTCAATAAAAAGGGCCCAGAAAAAAAGAAAAAAAAAAAAAGGGAGAAAACACTTGGGTTATTTTTAACCTTGCTCATATAAGCAGACATATTACTTGTACGAATGTTTGTCCCTATGTGCAGATGTACATATGATTACCAGCTTTTTCCATTTCCGTAGCTATTCGTACACGTATGCGTACGCATCTCACCCACATTAGGCACACTTGCTCGCGCTAACACGCTAGTCCTTAGCCAACACATTCATGTTCTTCTGTTCCCTCCCCCCATTGCTTTTTCGTTTTTTCTCCGCTCCCCCCGCTTGGCCTATACACAACATGTAAAGGTATTCCCCCCCATTTGGAATAAAGAAGTGCTCATTCCCGCTAGTACCTTTTGAAAGCAGCGTTTTTTAGTATATTTAGAAGAAGCCCCCCCTTTTGCATCTTTGCAACGAGCGTGGCGCATGTGTAGTTCGAAGCGTCGTACAGCGAAGGTAGGCGTGACACATCAACGCAAGTTGGCATGTGAGCATCTGATCATGTGAGCATGTACACAGAGAAACATAGAAACGTATGTAGTTATGTATCTATGTACGTATAGGACACATCCCAAGGGAGTACCCACCCATGGTTTTTCTTTTCACGTACTCTCATGTGCGAGTTGCTACCCTGCAACTGCTGCACCCGATTAAGTGGGAGCTGTAGAGAAGGGGTCTGCGGCCCCCCCGTTCCCCACTTTTCCACCACAACATTGGAGGGAACCCCCGGCTTGGGAAGAACTCGCGCTGTTTTCCCCCTTCACTTTGTGTTCGACTGTTCCGTTGATTGTTCCGTTGATTGTTTCGTTGATTGTTTGGTTGATTATTCCCTTCATTCTTCCCTTCATTGTTCCCCTCATTTGTCTACCCCACGCAGCCTGAAGAGAAGTGCCCCTCCATAACCCCCCCAACAAAAAGAAGAAGCTTACAGAATGGATAGCTCTTTGCTGGAAAATGGACTAAACATGAATTTTATCGACAGGATGTCTAACTTGTATGATAGCTCTCAAAAGAAGGCCACGAAGAAATTAATCATAGCAAGTATAATATGTATAATATTTATGATAATAGAAATAGTGGCAGCTATTGTGGCGAATTCCTTGTCCTTAATGACTGATGCCTCCCATCTGTTTTGCGACTTACTATCCTTTGCCTTAAATTTATTTTCTATATATGTATCCACATTTGAGGGAAATGTAGATATGTCTTTTGGGTACCACCGGGCGGAAATAATAGGAGCCTTATTTTCCATTTTTTTTATATGGGCCCTATCCGCCTACATTTTGTACAGTGCTGTGTTTCGATTATTTGAAGTTCAGACGGTGGATGGATACATCATGTTTGTGACAGCTTTTGTAAGCACTCTGGCGAATATATTCATTGCGTTCGTACTTAAGGTGCACTCACATGGATTTGAATTTATTGGACAACGAAGATGCAGTCATAGTGATGACATGAATGATCATGGTCACCAGATAAAGGCATGGGGGAATGATTCTACTTCCTCTGCAAAAAATGGAAAATACAAAAATATAAATAGTGATATCGTTATAGCAGATGACGATGATGCTGCTGCTCATGCTGCGGCATCTAACAAGAGTAATATCTCCATGGGGAAAATTAACAACAGTTCATGTAGCTACGTTGCATTTGATTACTATGAAAATGTGAATCAAGTTAATATAGATAATCGCCATCAAGGAGATTCAAGGGCTGCAGGAGGAACTGGTGGTTGTGAAGGAACAACTGCAGGGAAAAAGGATTCTCAAAATGCACACCATGGACTGCTAGCTCCCACAACGAATAATTTCCTTCACAATAATAACATTGGGAATGATGAAGATGTGCAGAAGGACGATGATATTTTTAAAGTAGGGATTAATGAATATGTCAATAAAAGCAATGGAACAAATGATATGAGTAAAAAAAAAAAAAAAAAATCGCATAGTGACATGCACAAGGACAAGAACATTGCCTCGAAGAGTTCCTACGTGCTCTCCAATGACGAGAGAGAAGAGAATGCTTTGTGCGAATCGTACGCTAGCCATTCCTTGGAGGGGAACTCCCCCCAGGGTGGGCGACACCAGCATGGCCACTCACACAGCCACTCACACGACCACTCGCATGACCATTCGCACGGCCAAGACGAACTAAACAGCATAAGCCTGAAGACGGCGTACCTACACGCCATCAGCGACTTAGTGCAAAACATAGGAGTAATGATAGCCTCGCTGATCATCTGGTACAACCCCAAGTACTCCATCACCGACCCCATTTGTTCCATCATTTTTTGTTTCATCGTTTTTTCAACAACCATATCCGTAATTAAAGAAATTCTAAACGTACTGATGGAGGGAACCCCCGTGAGCATAAACTTAATCGATATCAAAAACGATCTGCTGGAGATACCCGGGGTTATAGATGTCCACGACCTACACGTCTGGTCCTTATCAATTGGGAAGCCAGCCCTCGCGTGCCATATAGTTGCCCACAAAAATTTTTCACACACAGTTTTAAATAACGCTACTTTGTTGTGCCAGAATAAATATAAAATTCTGCATACGACTGTCCAGACCGATTACCCCTCGAACATTTCCAACTGCGAAACCTATGCCCACCTTAAGTGCTCAAATTTGAAAACAGAAACGCAGAGGTAGTTCCTCATGTGCAGCTGCACAGCTCCTGCGTTATGTGTATATGGGAATGTTATATGCCAATGTGTATAAGCCTTTCACACAGGGTTCTCCCTACTCGCCGTAATTTAAAAATGTATTTGTTAAATCTCCCACTGCGCGAATGCCAGCGCGTTAATTGCCACTGCGTGGGGGCATCGCCTGGGAGCACCGCGTGAATGCCTTTACGTCTGTCTAATCGAAGCATCCCTCAAAAATGGCGCTCTGACAATGATCTTTAATATTTTTTTAACTGTTATCTGTCGCTTCAGAAGGGGCACAGTTGTGTGTACAAGCGGCCAAGTGCAAATGTGCGGATGGACGCTTGTACGCGTGCGGTTGCAGCTCTTTTTAATTTTTTCCCAATGCATAATCAATTGATGAATCTATAAAAACAAGGCTACGACTGCTCTGTACTTTTTATTTGTCCCATTTTTGCACAAATGCAAGTATGTCTATATGTGTATAAGAGAAACGAAAAGAAAGAAAAACAAAAAAAGAAAAAAGCACTGCTACTATTGTGCCTCCCCCTTCACGCATATTAAAAAATTAACTCTTCCTCCTATTTATACGTATGTATAATTGTTCCCCTTAATCTTTTTACATGTTATGATAATCTTTCTCATTGTATATTTTTTTTTTTTTTTCCCATGTCGCTCCCTTTTAACGTCAGTTAATTTCAATTTAACATGTTAATAAACATTTTCGTCACTACGCTCCCATTTTTAATACCGTTGTTTTAAGAAAAAAGCAAGGTGTGAATTCCTATTTAGTCCATTTCGAGAGGCGAAGCAGAATAAATAAGCGGGGTCACCAACGCCAGGTAGATGTTTGGGTAGAGTTCTCCACCACCATTTCCCTTTTCCTGTGGAGTACCCACTGTGACGAAATTTTCATCGCGCGAACAGAATGAGGCATACGGAGTTGTACACACATGTTTCGTGTATGGAAACGCAGGGGCCGCAAAGCGGACTTTTTCGTGTTCCCCTTAAAAGGGTAAAAATGCCATGTACAAATTGTAAAATTAATTGCACCTTTTTTTTACACGAAAAAGTGGGGGCACATAAGTATACGAAAGGAGAGCAAACAAGGAATAATACGGAGAGCGCAGAGAGCACACGACGCAGAGAGCACACGACGCACAGAGAACAGGACGCACAGAGAACAGGACGCACAGAGAACAGGACGCACAGAGAACAGGACGCACAGAGAACAGGACGCACAGAGAACA